TGCCATAGGGCTGTTTGTTAATGCTCAGGCACATATCATGAAACCAAAGTTAGACATGACCAACAGTAAATGCTAAGCTAAGTAAAGCAAATGCCATTTACTTGCTGTCTCCCAAAACTTCTATCGACTCCTACGGTCTCTCAAAGTAGGGCTTATTTTGTAACAAAATTGACTTTTGGCACCTTTGTTTCTCCTCCAGACTCTTACTACTTGTACTCAGACAAATTGAGAAGTGTTCTCATCTCCCTGTGTCACAGGGGAGTTTTCTCTCTAGGAAAACCATATTCTCTGTTTTGCTACGAAGTTCATGATGCTCTGAGGAGACAAAAATAAGAGGGGAAAATAGGTACATCTCCAAATGGCAAGTGTGCTTCTGTTCCTTAGGACAAAACAGGACGCCTGTAGGAAATGCAATTACTGGGGCCTTTTGATATCAGGAAACAAAGTTCTATTAAAGAAAATCCATTTTTGAAAAGTGATAGAACAAATCAGTTGATATAAGTAAAACTTCCTGGGTAGGGAGGAAAAACCCCTCAAAACTTTCTTCCTTTTGACTTCCATTTGTAAAGGAGGACTAAAAGTGCAGGAGGATTTCCCATACCTTAATAGGCAAACCATTTTGAAGTACAGAATTTTTTGTCTAATAGGATTTTGGAAAAAAGCTGAGAAAGTACTGAATGAAAAATGACTGAGGATTTTTATGTATTGAAAGTAAGTATCTGAAGTATGACCTCGGCTAGTGGAATGAGTATGTTTTGGTAGATCTAAAAGAATTTTGTGCCTTTAAGGTGGGGATGTGAGATGTTAGCTGTTAGGAAATTTTCCTTTCTTCTGAAGCCACATGGTTACACGTCCAAAAGTCCATCTAGGAAATAAAAGTCACTGCACTTCAAAATTAGGTAGGCAGGTATGTGTATATGTATATTAATACTACTTTGGTTGAAGAGCAAATACTTGAAAGCTATGCTAGAAATGTTAAGAGTAGCAAATAATTCTCCAGTTGCAGAGACCCTTCCATTCATGTCTGTGGCTTCCTGCAAGAAGCCACAAAGTGACTGTGAGTTTCTCTTCATTCCTGTGTATATTTTTAGAAATGAAGTACTAGACCGTAGAGTAAGAAGAAACTTGTGTTCAGGATGTGTGTGGTGCAGAGAACATACTTTAATTATAGCATAAGCATTAACTAGTAGGGGGAAAAAGTTGATTATTTACTCCCATTACAAGAAAGTTTCTGTGAAATCTGTTTGTGCACTTTTTAAAAAGTGCGAACAAAACATACATGAGAAACAGGAGGATGGAGGAGTGAAGTGAAATAGATCATAGCTGAATGATATTACTGAACGATCAGGCAGATGCTCAGGAGCAGGACAGCAGGGAAGCTGGCACGGTCAAAGAGCTGTCGCTGACAGGGGTGCGTTGCTACCAGAACAGCTCTGGATGTTCCTATGGTGTTCACAAGCTCACGAATGTATTTCTCAGCAACAAGCGAAATGCTGGTCAGGGGCATGACCACGTGACGTTTCCTAAAGTTCCTGCTGCTTCCATAGATGACAAGTTTTCTTGTAAGCATATTCCTTCCTAGCAAGGAGGCCCGGGTGGGGAGACAGGCAGGGATTAAGCCTGTGCTGTAAATGATCTCAAAGAGGAGCCAAAGAACCGGAGGCATGCTGTGCGTATCGGGAGGGGTTCTGTAAACAGTCTGAAGTCATTGTCCGCTGTTAGTCAACAGGGTCAAAATAGTAGTAAGTGTTAATGCAGCGTAACACCAGGACACCTCTATATTTTGCATATAATGCTATATAAGGACTAATGCTATATAAAGGACTCTTGGGCATACTTCTGGTATCAACCTTGGTTTATATTTAATGGAATTAAAGGGCAAAAGCTCCTCCTGTCTTGAGCTGCTTAATTTCCCTGTGTGGTCCCGCTGGCCTGTTTCAGCCCAGACACATCGCTGTTGCCTTTCTAAGAGTGAGTCACGGTAGTAGGAAGAATCTTTGCGGGGGAGCGTGACTGCCTGAGCTTGTTAAAAGCAGTGTCAGTTTGAAGGTACCTGCTTAAAAATAACATGGACTTTGCCATTGCAGCAGCTGGTTAATAAGCAATTACTCTCAACAAAAAAAAACAGTTGTGACCAGAAGAACAGCTGCTGCTTCTGAAATTAAACACAGCAGTGATGATCAGTCACTGGTACTTCTCTGTGGTACGACTCCTCACCCCTCTCACACCTAGTTTTAGAGTAATATGAATCCATCTGCTGGTAGAAGGTGCAGGAGGGGCTTTGGGCATTTCCTGTGCAGCTACTGGAGTTAGTTGGTGGTGTGAAGGAGCACCTAGAACTGATGAAGCCTGTAGCCAACTGCATGTGTTCTGCAGGTGATAAAGCAGCTCCAGATCTTATCTATGAGGGGAGATTACTCGTAGTACGGAAATTAAGTCTTCACATAGATGTTAAATCCAAGGGGGTTTTTTGCTGCTTCGTCAAGCAGAAAGAAAATCTGAATACATGCTGCGTAAGGGAGATTCAAAGACTATTTTATTGGTCATTTGGTGGTGTGGGCTGGCATCTTTCCAGGTTTGCTTTTTGTGTGGCTTGCCTCATTTTCTTCCTCTGTTCAGAAGTAAACCTGGTTTCCCACCTATCTGCAGTTGCATAGCCCTTTTTTTTTTCCCTAATATGACTATATATCTTTGCCAACTACCAGAAATGCTTACATGGAAAAAACTTTATTACAGCAAGGTATTTTTAGCTGTCATAAGCAGAATTTAGTGGGAATAGGAAAAGAGGAAAGAACAGCCAGTATCGAATCATCAGCCAGCTCTTTTTAGGCTACCAGCATGTGCTCCTCAGACCCACCTCTGCTCTGTTTGGCACTCAGGCAGTGTTCTGGTCTACTGTTGGTAAACCCAGAAGTAGTATTAATCTAAGACCATTAAAACACCTTTTGTTAGAAGAACTGTGTGACAGCTAATTTTTGAAGTGGCTAAACAACATTTTCCCTAGTGGTGAAATTAAGGTCCCCAGAAATATGCAGTGCCCACTGGGGGGTGGGGGTGGGGCATTATTTTCCCATTTAGGCTTAGCTGTAGCTTCTTCAGAGTCCGATTTCACCCTGACTTTCTTATTAAAGAAAAACAGTTATGGATAGGATTGATCTCTTTTTGATGCTCCATTTATAGCTGAAAGAGTCAGCATGCCAAAGTTGTAAGATGATGTAAGTTACCAAACATTCCCCAAATGTTTAACTTTGGAAAGTAGCACCTTTGCATCTACAGTGCATGCTCTATGCCTGTATTTACATTGCAGCCTTGGCTTTTGAAGTTGGCAATGGAGGGAGGGATTTACCAGAATTTTAGTGCTGCTGCGGTGCCTGAAGCCTGTGTTTTAGTTAGCTTCTATGATTTTGCAAGACTGTCAGTTAAGGTTTTGTACCCAACGTGAAGTTCCTACATGGTACTGAAAAGATGATACATATGAAGTGCTAAATATAACTTCCAACTGTGTTGTTCTCCTCTGTAAATCTGGTAAATGTGGTGCCTTTTTTGGTGACGGGATCAAGTTCCAGAATAAACTTAATGATGGTTTACAGGGTGGATTTGGAGAAGCTCCTCTTACAGCTGAAATAAGAGGTCTCTGTCCTAGAGAGACCAGAGAAGGAGACAAAACCAGGGTCTTAGATTAGATGGGAAAGTAATGGAGTTAAATACTGTGAATTTGAGATAATGCATCAAAAGTCATAGATATACACAACTTAAATAGACCTGAAGGGAGAGAAAAAGCATGGGAACTGCACATACCCACTTGCTTACCAGAGTGGTAACATGGTTAATATGCAGCTAAAAATGCCCCTCTACCCCACCTGGAGTACTGCATCCACCTCTGGAGTCCCCAACATAAGAAGGACATGGACCTGCTGGAGCGTGTCCAGAGGAGAGCCACGAGGATGATCCAAGGGCTGGAGCACCTCTCCTATGAGGACAGGCTGAGAGAGTTGGGGCTGTTCAGCCTGGAGAAGAGAAGGCTCTGGGAAAATCTTATTGCGGCCTTCCAGTACCTAAAGGGGCCTACAGGAGAGCTGGGGAGGGACTTTTTACTAGGGCATGTAGTGACAGGACGAGGGGGAATGGCTTTAAACTGGAAGAGGGCAGGTTTAGATTAAACATTAGGAAGAAGTTTTTCACTTTGAGGGTGGTGAGGCACTGGCACAGGTTGCCCAGAGAGGTTGTTGAGGCCCCATCCCTGGAGGTGTTCAAGGCCAGGCTGGATGTGGCCTTGGGCAACCTGGTCTAGTGGGAGGTGTCCCTGCCCATGGCAGGGGGGGTGGAACTCGATGTTCTTCAAGGGCCTTTCCAACCTAAACCATTCTATGATTCCATGACTAGGAACAGATGGAGCTCAGTGAACTATACCAGTGACAACTGAGGAATGTGATAATCATTAGATCGTTAGTTCTGATGTTTAACTGCAGCTGGAATATTATGCTAAAAGGTCATAATACTAAAGGTGACTGGAAGTTAAAAACTTGTCAGCTCTATGTATAATATACATAAACTTTGCTAAAGATGTTAATGGTCTTCCTGCTCAGAGCAAGATGGGGCTCCTTGTATTTGGAGGAGTGTAAATTTTATGGTTGCCAGTTCTTTTTTTTTTTTTTTTTTTGTATACGACTTACCTGTAGTTAATGCAGGAGTAAAATACTGGATTCTTTCTAAGCCTTAAGTGGCTTTTGTATTACCAGTACCTGTATTCTGAAGAGTCATTTGTCCGTCGGTACAAATGCAGCAATATCTTCATGATGTTATGTCGTTTTATGTAAAACATACAGACCAACAGTGACTACGAAACTCCACTGTAGCATGCTTGTGACAGTGTATCACTTGGAACATTTGTGGACATTACGACGTCTCTGAATGCGCACTTCAACTCAACTCTTTGAACAGACCCAACACAATTTTACGTGATTACTGCTATTTTATAATGATTTCTCTTTTCCTTTTAGCTTTACCTGCAGGCCAGAATGAAAGGAGACTGGGCAAGACTTGTACGTCCTACTCTACAATTTGGTCTTATTGCCACTTCTATCTATGTGGGTCTCTCACGTGTTTCCGATTACAAGCATCATTGGAGTGATGTTTTAACGGGACTCATTCAGGGAGCAGTGGTCGCTGTGCTCATTGTAAGTAACTCCAGAGGGGGGTGTGCGTGTGTAAATGCTGCTGTTACGAAGAGCACCTTAGAATTGCAGGCTGTGTTCAGAGGAAAGCAGACCTGTCTTCCTAATGTTTTGAAAATTTGGAGAGGGGAAGCAATGCCTTGAACTGGGTGTAGCAATAGTACTTCAGGGAGTGAGGCAGACTCTGGGCCAATGATGAGATAAGTGGCTCGTTTAGCTATTAGATAACGTGAAATCATCCCTGCCCAAGAGCTTTTCAAATAACCGAGATGGAAACAGTCAACTGCAAAACCATGTGGGCCTCTATGTGACCATACCTTTTGCTTCTAGCCAAATTCTAAATCTCAAGTACAATAGCAGAGCAGAACTGCGTATGAGGCAAGCAGGGCAAAAAAGAAAAGGCCTTTAAGGATAAGGACAGCATGAAAGTGTCTGTCTCTGCCAGGTCATACATCCTGTGTGTTCAGTCTGATGGGAAACTACGACCCTTCACCATTTCTTGTGTGCGCTCTGAGTACCAAAAGGGTGTTCACAACCACCAGCACGTGACGCTTAGCTGTACTGATGAGTGAAAAGCTATCCCAAGGAACAGAGAATCAGCTAAACTGCAGGCCTGGTTGACTTAGCGGCAGTCAGTGGCTGTGGCTGTCACCAGAGTGCCGTGGTTGATTCATCTATGGGAAGGGACAGATCGGAGAGACTTCTAGTTCAGAGGCATGAACTGAGTTCTCAAGAACTGAGGCTCACCTGGAAGAACCACCTCCAAGATAAACATTTTCTTAGCTGAAAGAATAGTGTGGGGCCATTTGAAGACAAAACTTTGTTTATTTGTTGTAATCAATCATCAAAACAAACCTTGGAGCAGCTCTGTGAAACCCTATATACTGCATGAAATGGCTGCATGTTGACTAAAACATAATCCTGCTGCTCATTTTTGTACAATCTTATTTTCTAAGAAAAGGAGTGCAGGGAAGGAGAAACATCAGGGATTGAAGAGCTGAGGGCACTTTTATTAGGAAAACAAGTTTAGTGCAGGGTGTTGGATGACTGAGGGGGTATCTTTGAGATGCCTGGTAATACAGGAATGAGTAGAAGGCAGCATTACAGTGAACAGAGTTGAAAGGTGGCAAATTTATTTTTAAAAATAACCGCCCCCAGACAAAACCCTTATCTGAAAGAACTGAAGAGCTGACCTCCAGAAACAGAAAGCTGAGGTAAGCGTATGCTGGGGCAGGAATTGCAGATAGAGCACTAAATAGAGTTGACTGACTTCAGGTTTAATTTGAAGCTGAAACTCACCTGGTATGCAGCCGAAGCAGCATGCTGGGTCATCAGCCAGCCCTCAGTGTGGAGGATGGTTTCTTCTGCTGCCCTAAACTGTGTTCTGCAGCTCTCAGGTTTTTAGTGGGAGGGGAAGAGGTGACGCAGCAAAAGACTGCTTCTCATTTATTGCACTTCATGCAGCACTCTACCCAGCACATCTAGTATGATGTGGAGAAGCTGTAGACTGTCTCATAGTCAGTAGCTGTGTAGGAAGTGTGGTGATATGTTCAAAGGCACGCAGGAAGGTAGAGCTGGCCTTACAGCTGCTGGAGCTGTGTGTGAGACAGATGGATTGAGGAGGGAGCTTCTGTGAGGAATCCAAGCTTGGTTTAACTATCTTTTAAAGAAATGCAAGTGAGAGTGACACTCCAGAGTGAATTTCTAACTATTGAACCCTCTTCCTCAGCTAAAGCACAAGCTCTCCCATCCTGTTCTAAATAATTTGCAGAATAAATTTAACCATACACACAATGTGGGCCCTCAGCAAGCATGTCTTGCTCCTTCAGTTAGTTGTTCAAACTATGGTTATTGTCATGAAACAGTGCCTGGTAAGGCAGTTAGTTAGCACACAAGCCTTAAATTTGGCTTAAACTATCAGTGGCTAAGTGGCCAAGGGACTATTAGTTTTGATCATGGAATTTACCTTCTGCAAAAGCATTTGCCTGTTGTTTCAAAGACTTAAAAAAGCAGCAACTTAACAATAATTTGTTCACTTAGGTTGTGTACGTGTCTGACTTCTTCAAAGTGAGAGGATGTACATTTCAACCAAAAGAAGATTCCCATACAACCCTACATGAGACTCCAACAAATGGAAATCACTTTGGCAGCAATCACCAACCATGAAGAATGACCCCATCTTGCTCTCTGAAAGGAAAACAATTTCACAAGTCTAACTATGTAATATAAGTAAAAGCCTTTAAGGGACTGCTGCTGCTCTTGGATGCTCACTTTACCTGTATATAGTAACATCTAGCACAGTTATTGTATATCTAAACTTTAAATTTCTGTTGGTTCAAGCTCTTGCTTACAAGAAAAAAGCTATTCAAAATGTAAATTTTTATTGAAAACATGGTAACAGTTATATTACATACACTGCTGTTTGTACATGCCTTGTTGAAACAACTGTGGAATACACACCATTAAAAGTAATTACTTGAGATGGAAATAGCATGTGAAGCTGAATAATTTGTTCCATAATGTGAATCTAGTACTGTTTTTAGAAGGTATCTTCTGTTACAGGTAAAGGCTTGCAGCAAACACAATATCTCTCTTGATTTTTGTAATCCCTATTAAAAAGGAAAAATGTATTAATATCCAGCAGTCATAACTGACACAATCACTATTTTAAGTACAGTTACAGGCATCTAGTACTTTGCAGTAGATAAGTGTTACAAGTCTTGAAGGGAAGTCATTGTACATCCATTTTCAGTCACAAACTATATTCAAACTTTGTAACACATATATCATCTGGAAAGAGAGCACTGATGCTGTTTACCAGTCAATACCAGAAGCTTGTATTACCACATCATTCACCCCCACCCCACACCACCTCCCCCCGACCCTGACCCTTCTCTTGATATGCCTTCTAGAATTACTTCTTATACCGTTGAAGTGAAATACATACCCTCTGCAAACTTATTTTCCAACTCTGTGTTTCCAATGGCTTTTGCAGCCTGGCACATCTGCCGAAGCAATTCTTCTAGCCGCCTCATGCAACGAATTATGCTACCTGTATAAAAAGAGTGAGGGGAAACTGTATCCCTTGCCACATCATGTCACTGAACAATTCAGCTGATTAGGCCCACTTTGGACAAAAGCAGTGAGTTCCTTTTCCAACCCTGTTCAATTTATCTGGAAGCCAACAGTAAGAACAGACATATGTCTGAAGCTTGGTTTCTGTTTAACAGTAAATTCCTCCATCAGGCATTTCCTTGACGCTATCTCCAAATGCTTGTACTGTTCTTGTTTTCTTCTACTATCTTTGCAGCCTCTAACTAATATCTAGTCAGAGGACTTTCCGGGCTGTTCAGTAATTCCCAGTGGATTTTTTTAAAGTACTTCTTAAGACTTCCATCAAAAAGCCATAAAGGTTTGGGGGATTCACAAGTTTGCTGCTTCAAGTACCACCACATATAGGTTGTGGGGTAGGGGTGTGATTTTATAGCCTTTAGTTGGCAGAGCCAGTGAGACAGTAAGTGGTCTACCTGACTACTCCTGTGCCTCTCAAGAGTCTACAGACCACTCTACCGCTCAACTGTGTGCATACAGTAATGCATACAAGCTCAGTCTTGACATAGCTCCTAAACTGCAACTTAATACCCACTGTAGTTTTTTTACACATTCATCCCTTTTTGGTCCAAGCCACTGTCACAAAAATCACTCTAATGTTTATGCTCTTGTAGCAGCATGCAGCGTGCTGTTTCATCATTCCCTCCAGCATCATCTCACACCTACAGTAAAAATTATTGTACGCAAAATGACTGTCATAGGGTAAATATGGGATGAAGGGATTGAGAACAGCCCTGAGAAAGACTTGGGGGTACCGGTGGATGAAAAAGGTGGACATGAGCCGACAATGTGTGCTCACAGCCCAGAAACCCAACCATATCCTGGGCTGCATCAAAAGAAGTGTGGCCAGCAGGTCAAGGGAAGGGATTCTGCCCCTCTACTCCACTCTGGTGAGACCCCACCTGGAGTACTGTGTCCACCTCTGGAGCCCTCAACAGAAGGAGGACATGAACCTGTTGGAGCGAATCCAGAGGAGGGCCACAAAGATGCTCCGAGGGCTGGAGCACCTCTCCTATCAGGACAGGCTGAGAGAGTTGGGGTTGTTCAGCCTGGAGAAGAGAAGGCTCTGGGGAGACATAGCAGCCTTCCAGTACCTAAAGGGGCCTTTATACGAAAGATGAGGACAGACTTTTTAGCAGGGCCTGTTGTGCCAGAACTAGGCCTAATGGTTTTAAACCAAAAGAGGGCAGATTCAGAGTAGATCTAAGGAAGAAATTTCTTACAGTGAGCGTGGTGAAACACTGGCACAGGTTGCCCAGAGAGGTGGTAGATGGCCCATCCCTGGAAAGATTCAAGGTCAGGTTGGATGGGGCTCTGAGCAACCTGATGTAGTTGAAAATGTCCCTGCTCATTGCAGGGCATTTGGACTAGATGATGACCTTTCTATGGTTCTGTGATATACTAGCTCTAGACAAAGCATGCTATCTGGAGAAAAAGCATCCCAATGAAAAGAACATTCTACAAAGCTGTTGGGAAAGTGAGAAGTTAAGAAAAGTAAAGTAACACAACACTTCTAAAAAACATTCATACTGTACCAGTAGGCCATGTTGGTTTCTACAGTAAGAATAGTTTGTGTGAGGGCAGCAGTCTGTAGAACCTACTGCAATGACAGGAGGCGAAATAAACCATAGATAGTCTACACAAAGCCAAAGTAAGTGAACTGCGGGCAGCTACCCCAAGCATGGCCATGCCGAGTTGTGGCGGGCTCAGGTCTCAGATCTTGCTCGTCTCCATTTACAAGGCCAACCCTGACAACTGTACTCATTTACAGGCAGCGTTTCTGGGATTGCTGCAGACACACTTTTTTTGTGCATGAAAAAACCTGCATTTTTTGAATAAATGACTATTGTCTATACTTACTTCCACAAAACAAAACAGTTGATTTGCAGTTCATTAATAGGATACTTAGCTGAGTTTACCATTCTTCCCTACAGCTTTTTAAAAAGCTTCTCTCATTTCTTCCCAACACACACATTTCAGCTTAATGACAACTCATTTTCATTAGCCAATCATCACTGCTCCAACCTGTGCCAAGCACACTTGCTCCTGGAGCGCTCGGGCTTGTGCTGCAACCAGCAAAGGCAGCCATTTGCCTACCACAACTCCAGGCTTTCACACTACTCAGAACTGCACCCAAAAGGGCTTTCAGACACTTGACCATCAATACTAATAAAATAGCAGAACACCATTTAGGCTTGTGAGAGTGGAAGCATGCCATCAGCTTGAGGTTTCTGTCTAGAAAAGTTCTGCTAGTGCCTGTTAGCTTGGATGGCAGCACAAAGCTACATTAGCCTCTCAGAGCACAGTCCTTCGGTGAGCACGTTTAGTAAGTTGTGTGTGTGGACATCTGAAGTGCTTTCCTTCCTTTTGGACAATGCACAGAAAACCAGCTTATTAAAAGTTAAGGGAAGAATCATGCATCGACCCCTGCCACAAAAGCTGAACTGCTCAAAATAGGCCCATAAGATCTAATTTTGAGGGAGACAGCACTGTTGACTAGGACAAAGGTGACGAACTAGCCTTAGCCCAAATATGGTAAGTGGAAAACATTACTGCCCTGTGTATTCGGAACAGTCAAGCACCAGCGTAAAAACATAAGCCAGCTACTGTTTCTCCTTTTGTGTTCCCCTTACTCAGGCTGCCTCTTCAGCAGATGTAAGGCTCAGACATTCACTGCAATAGAAGGAATCTGCTGAATGCAGATTCGAAGACCGCCAGGATTCTGTTGCTTGCAGGCAACCTGCCTTAGAAAGCTCCTGGGTCTATGCATTGGATTACAGAAGTGCGTGAATTCCTTTGTTTTAAGGGCTCCCATTTGCAACTGTGTACGTAGAAACAAGAAAACAGCATTTGAGAGAGACAAGACAATGGTGACAGGCACAACTTCAAAAAGGATTTTGAAGTATCAGTCATTTACACAAAGACTTGTAAGACTGGTGCACCCATCCTACTGTTCTTCACAACTTTCAACATAGCTCATAAAAGATTAAATTAGGTTTTTCATTCCGTTTTGACCTTCAGGTGTATGGTTTGTCTTTTACAAAGTATCTGGGCTTTAAGTCATCCTTCTTTTAAAATAATGAAAACTAAGCATCCTTCCTCAAGGAGCAGTTTCTAGTACTCCAATGTTAGGAACCAAATGAACCCAGGTGACAGATTACATGTAAGAGTTTCAAACATCTGCATTGCACTGCTGTGATGAGCCATCCAAAACAGAGACTTGGTTACCACCTCTCACTTGTGTCATCATTAAGGCAGAAGGAGGAACCTTCAATTTACCAAGTAAATAAAACACTTAACTGTAAGGAATCACAGAATCGTTATGGCTGGAAAAGACCTTTAAGATCCAATCGTTACCTAACACTACCAGGCCCACTTCTAAACCATGTCCCTGAGCACCATACCTAGATGGCTTTTAAACACAACCAAGGATGGTGATTCAACCACTTCCCTGGGCAGCCTGTTGCTGTCTTTGATAACCCTTTCAGCGTGGAAGTTTTTCCTAATGTCTAACCTAAACTTCCCCTGGCGCAACTTGACGCCAATTCCTCGTGTCCTATCGGTTGTGACTTGGGAGAAGAGGCCAACACCCACCTCTCTACTACCTCCTTTCAGGTGTAGAGAGCAATAAGGTTTTCCCTCAGCCTGCTTTTCTTCAGACTAAACAACCCCAAGTCCCTCAGCCACTCCCCATACGGACTTATTCTCAAGACCCTTCACCAGCTTTGTTGCCCTTCTCTGGACCCTCTCCAGCACCTCAATGTCCTCCTTACACTGCGGCACCCAAAACTGAACACAATACTCAAGGTGCAACCTTACCAGTGCTGACTACAGTGGGACAATCACAAGCGCAAGAGCTGTACTTCTTAATGGCAACCATGTGGAACATATTTTTTCCTTTAACTAGCAAAGGTAATGCTTACCTTTTGTTGCAATACTTAGAATTTCAGAGTTTTAAAGAAAGTTTTTAAAATGTAGAGATATCCCTTTTAAAAATTCTTCTACAGATTCCAAATTACCAGCAGTGTAACTATAAATTTTTTCCCACTTAGTTTCAGCTGTGCAGATACTTGAATACACCTAAGTTAATAAATTTTATGATCCATTGTAAGGTTATTCAGAATTACCATTCCATGCTATGAAATTACCATCTCAAAACTCCTAGAGAGGAACTGATTAACCTACCTTCAAAGACATCAGTCATTTTGCAGATGTGAGCAAAGTTAGCTCCATTTGCCCATGTATACACAACATCCATTAGGTTGGGTCTGAAAGAATTTAAGTAATTTTCTTCATCAATTTCCAGTTTTGCTTCTGCTGACACCTTGGCGATTCTTTTTGCACACTCCTTCAAAAAAAAATATTTAACTTATAAGA